GTCCTAAAAAGTTACATTCTTATATTTATTTTTTTTTCAACTAAATGTTCACTTCCTAATACTTATGTAGGAATCAGAAATTTATATCATGTATAAGTATAGTAATTGATGTGGAAAGCCCATTTCTGTTGTAGTTTTAATTTGAAAAAAGTTATACAATGAACAAATTTTGCGTGTGAAGGGTTTCTGCAATTATTTTAAAAATTGGGCCCTAGAGGAAGTATGGCTCTAGTTATCTTATTTAAGCCCATTGGAAAAGTCCCCTTTATTTACGAAAACTAGGCAACTTAGTAAAAAAAAACTAGGCAATATAGTAAAAAAAATTGCTATATTCCATGTTCAACTAAGACTAGCTATCACATATTAAGCACTGTATGTGAGTCTTAATGTTATCATGTAATACACATTATTTTCTTTAATCTTCTTAATGACATTATGAGAAAGATGTCATTATCTCCATTTTCCAGAGAGAACAAATAATAGATTTAATGTCCTAGTCTTAGAAGTTGTCTCTGAGTTTGGTTCTGCCCCACCGAAGTCCTTAGCAGGCGCCACGCTGTGCTAAAGTTGAGCGTCCATCTTTAAGAAGCAAAGCCAAGACTCACAGGTTTAATGCCAGGAGGGTGTAACTCAGGAGAGCTTGAAGTTCCTCTCTGGTCTCCTGCTGCTTGCATTTTACTTAACGATGTGCCTGGAGACTGCCCAAGTGAGTTTAGTTTCCATATATAATTTTAGAGTATTAAAAGTAGGAAGTCTCAAATGACATTTCAAAATAGAGTGTAGGCTATTTCAATTATGTTTTTCGTATTAGAAAAAAATTACCCTAAGTACCGTAGATTTTCAAAGAATTTGCCCTTTGATATATATTATTTTAGGTGAAAGTACAAGAAACATTAAAGTTGTTCCACAAGTAGGTTTCATCTAATTATATTTTTAACTCATGAAAATTATTAGGCTTATATTAGAATTTTAAATGTTTTTCCCTTACAAAATATTTGACATATTGAATGTATGTGGGTGTGCGCATGTGCGTGTGCGCGCGCGCGCGCGCGCGCGTGTGTGTGTGTGTACGTACATCTGTGTTCCCTTTGGCTAGTAAGTCATATTGGAAATGCTGTGTGAGTGTTCCCTATATTCTATCAATGAGGTCTGCAATTAATGTTTCTAATATTTTCAGATAGTAGGCACTTGGAAGGTGTGCTGAGAAGCCTAGTAATAAGTTTCTAAAACATGAAGTGCAAACTGTGGTTTTCTTTCCTCTGGTATGATTATAGTAATCCAGTGAAGATGCGAAATTGGAAAGTGGCAGAAGTTTGGATTACTTCTAGGATATATGTGACCTCTCATTGTTTCCAAAGAATATTAAAAATGAATTTATAAATTATTTAGAGAATATAAGATGAAGCATGCTTAATCTGCATACAAACACCTACCTAAAAATCCATGGAAAAGTGGTACTAGCTTGGCAGTATTTAGTTTAATCACTAACTTGACTGTCATTTTAATAATGCTATCATTAGGCTGAGCAGATAGCTTGGCAGTATAAGCACTTGCACAGCAGGGAAAGGTCCTGAGTTTGATCTTCAGTATCAAAAAATTAAAAAACAAAAGAATGCTGTAACTTTTCATGTATGTGTGAGAAACATGGGATATGGAATATGTAACATTCTATTTCTGCCATATATGTAACTTTGCTAAAATAAACTTGCTCCTAAAAAATCACTGTGAAAATTGATGACCGCCCATCTTCTGAGCTTCTGATACCCTAGAATTCCTTTGCTCTCTTCTTGGTCAGTCAGGAGTGAAATGACTCACCCCCCTGCATACTGAAAACCCAGAATATCCGAGGTGAGCGCACGGTAGCTGCTGGAGCCGGATGACCGCATGAACGCCTGAGTTTCCCCAATTCTTTGTCCATATTCATGAAATCTAAATGCTTTACACATTTTGTCAATGAAGCTGATTTTTTATTAAAGCATTATTGAATGAGCAATTTGAGCTGCAAGTATCTTCCCTAAAGTTGAATATCAGGGTAATATATTTCTAATTAGATTCACTGTTTAAAAAATTGAGGATTTAAAATGTAAATCACTTTTATGACAAGGATTTGTGACCCAGTTTTGAAAGCTTCCATTTGGCTGTACTTTGTCATCTAACTAGTATGGATAACTGGCATGCTTCAGCGGGAAAGAGTTCCTTAGATCTGGATGAGATGTTCAACATCAGTCTTGTCACTGATTGCAAATTCTTGTCATTGGTTTTCGTGGCCTTTCCCTTGGCTCTGACATTCTTTTAAGCATCTAGGATCTATTGTCTTTCTTTAACAACCTTGTAAAAGTTAAATCAGCTATAAGACTTCAAGTGGTTTGTGGAGAATTTAGCAAGGTTACACAGTTAGACAGGAAAGTTAGACGCTAGATAATTAGTGCTTGTTGCAAAGAGTAAAAGCACCTCAGTGAAACTTGTTTCTATTGCATTCTTCTTTGCCTAGAGGGCTATGGTGTAATTTAAACTCTTAAAGACTTAGAGGGATTGGGCAAAGAAAGACACCCTGAAGTATCTGCTTCAGCTAAGAACTTCTTATCCTGGGAACCTGATGAAGAAAGGAATGACCGTTTCTTACTCAAGCCCCCTTCGTCTCCACTGGACAGGCCCTAAGCGTTGGGAGACAGCTCAACCTCACTTATGCTTGTCTCATTCTCTTCTGCCTACTCCCTTCTACTTTCTCTTCTAGAATTGGATTTTAGCTTCTAAGGAGATTTTGAAATGCTTCTCCATACATTTTATAATTTGACTTGTATATCAGACCTCTTCTGAGAGTAGGAGTCGAGATTTTTCCCTCTGCTTGACAACGAGGAAGTTAAGGGGCAGGCAGAGGGCATGTGAGTTGTCTGACCCAAGAGTCGCCCCCTCCTCAGCCTGGTGATAATGGGAGCTGTTGTGGGGTCTTAATGACCTGTTAGTACTGCAGCCTGTTATTACTGTGGGGGAACTAGACCTCCACAGAAAACAAGCTCCAGGGAAGTTGGGATTGGTTCAACATCACATCTGTGCCCTGCTGTAGCTGGAACCTCAGTTGCCCTCGGCTTGCTAGTTTGGTATTCTCGAGCTCATACCCTGCTGAACTTACACCTCATAAAGAGGTCAGAATTAATAGGATTTTACCTTTTTATCAAGGATGAAATTGAAACTCAAAGAGAGAAACTCACTTGCCACTAGCTACACATCTCATTAATAACAAATGCTGGAATGAGAACCGAGACCTCACAGCTGAAAACAGCCCCTGAGAGCTTTACAATCCCAGCAAGCGTTAGCAATTAATAACTATGCAATTAAAGATAAAGACTTGCAACTCCTTCCCACCCTGTGGTAATATTTTATATGCTATGGTGTTGAAACTAAAATAGGGCTGAGGAGATGGTTCAGTGGCATAAGCACCTGCCTGGCAAGCATAGGTCCTGAGTTCAATTCCTGGTACAAACAAACAAACACACAAAGAAACAAAAACCCTGTTAAAGTAAAAGAGTTTCATGTAAGGAGGAATTGTATACTCTAGTTTTACCATAAACTGTTAATCTAAGAACTTCCAAAGACTCCACTTAAAATATGCAGAATCACAGTGTGTTGTCATTTCAACTCTTATAGTAGCACAGTTAGTAATTGGAAAGCCTGGAACTTATTGGTACATTGCATAGAACTTTGTTATCTATTCATTAACAATTGCAGTGAAGAAAAAAGCAGTATAGAATGACAGGAGTTGCCAGACAGGACACAGGAGACCCAGTTACATTTGAATTTCAAATTTTATTTTTAATAAAAATTTATTCATTGTTTACCTGAAACTTGATTTCAGTCAGTGTCCTGTATTTTTATTTGCTAAATCTGGTGACCTTTAGAATGTCTCTTCTGTCAAACACATTCATTATACATTCCTTTCAGGGCCTTGGTTTTGATATATAAAACATGACCTATTTCTAAAGAATCACACATAATGAATGTAATGCAGTTAATTTTGCTTAATGATACTGTAGTCAAAAATCTTTGCTCTCTGAATCCTTTGAAATAGTATTTTACCTTAGTGTTATAGTGTGCCATTCCTCATGATCTGATACAAAGGGTTAAATTAAAGAATGTGTTATTACGAATGGTCTTATTTGCCTTATGCCCTCTCTAGTTGAATTTTCAAATTCAACTAGATGTGTGGGGTACCTTCTTTGTGACAACCGTCGATCCTCTGGGAATTTCTTTAGTCTTCTGGGCCATAATATCTAGAATAGGAAATCTGGGTTGGATTTCTAGCTTCACCATTCAATAGTAGAATGGGTTTGAGTCAGCTCCATAATTTAGAAAGTAGGATTGTTAATGTTTGCCTGGATAAGTTTAGACAGAGAGATGCTTTTTTTTTTAACATCAGTCATTGAGTATTTATCAAAATATTTGGCATTAAGGAAAAGAATGGAAAACAGAGATCTGACTATAGAAGTGATTTATTAGATCAACCCGTCAGATTTCTTAAATCCCATCTGCTACTTTTATTATATTATACATGTTCACATGAACCTAATAGCTTGTGCATGCTAAGCACACACCATTACCACTAAGCTACACTTACTCCCCTGTGGAGCTTATTTGTACCAGCTCATATAATCACTGTTCACTATCAGCCTGATGATCCATTATACAAATAAAAGTGAATGTTAGTCCACTTTCTATGGGTGGCATTGGGTTGCTGCTGATCTTTGTTATAGCAGACAGTCCTAGAGTAAATATGCTTGTGCCTCTTTTGTCACATGTATGCAATCTCTGGAACACAGGACAGATGCATTTTAAACTTTGTTAGATGTTGCCTCCTTGACACCCAATGAGGCAGTATCCACTTTTTTCCTGTAGCTGAGAACTTAGAGAATAACTATGGCCCTATACCAAAGATGCTTATTGGCTTGCAGGGGTCCTAGCCTTCCTCCACAAGTCCCTAACTATCTGCATGTTCTGTTCTGTAGAGAAATGGTCAATGCGTGGTTTGCTGAGAGAGTTCACACCATCCCTGTGTGCAAGGAAGGTGCCCGTGGTCACGCTGAATCTTGCTCCTGCCCTTCACAGCCTAGTCCTCGGGCAGACACCAGTGCACCTGGAACACCAACGAGGAAAATCTCAGCCTCGGAATTTGACCGCCCCCTCCGACCCATTGTTGTCAAGGATTCTGAGGGAACTGTGAGCTTCCTTTCTGATTCAGACAAGAAGGAACAGATGCCTCTAACCCCCCCACGGTTTGACAATGATGAAGGGGACCAGTGCTCAAGACTCTTGGAATTAGTGAAAGATATTTCTAGTCATTTGGATGTCACAGCTTTATGTCACAAAATTTTCTTGCATATCCATGGACTCATCGCTGCTGACCGCTATTCTCTGTTCCTGGTCTGTGAGGACAGCTCCAATGACAAGTTTCTCATCAGCCGCCTCTTTGATGTTGCTGAAGGCTCAACACTGGAAGAAGCTTCAAATAACTGTATCCGTTTGGAGTGGAACAAAGGCATTGTGGGACATGTGGCAGCGTTCGGTGAGCCCCTGAACATAAAGGATGCATATGAGGTAAGCAGGGACTCAAGGTGGGCAGTAGAGGAGAGAATGTGGCTGGGACATCAGCCCACAATTGGGAATACAGGGGATGTTTGAAGCACAATGTAATTTTCATATGCATGAAAAATTACATGTATAGTAAGAAGACTTTAATCTTTTAAATTCCAGAGTGTCTTCTCAGGTGGTTCAGTCAAGGGCAGGAGACTGGGGAAAAATCTTAGTGTATTTGTTTACTTAATTACAATGTGAGATAATTTCAGATTCTGAAATGATAGGCCCCAAAACTGTCAAAAGAACAAATCAACCTTCATCATTTTTCATTCATTCCTTCACTCAATCATCATCATTTAGTAAATCATATTCATTCAACCCTATGGGTGACAAAGTGTATTTGGTTTTTTTTTTTTTTTTTGGTTTCAGGGATCAAACTTGGGACCTTGAGCTTGCCAGGCAGACACACTGCTGAGCTATCTCCCTGTTCTGACCATTTTTCTTTCCTTTATTTTTTAAACAAATGAACTAATGGGTATCTTTTTTAAAAAATGAAAAATTTTGCATTGCAATATTTCCGTGGAAAGATTTGATACTTCTACTTTTGATACAGCTATGCTCCAAATTTTAATTACTACTTAAAGATTACATTTTTAAGTTGTTTTCTTTCCCACTTAAAATAATTCCTTTTATTATTAGAACTGGAACTGTTAAACAAACCATCTTAATGAAGTGATACTGTGCTTGTGAGGTAGTTTCTAGTTCCCTGATGGAAGAGTTGTGCTAGCTCCTCATTTTGCAGTACACTTTGAAGAGTCATTTTTAATTCCAGCTGACTTTCTGTAAGTTCAACAGGCTTAATTACTGTGTTTTCTTCTGATGTCTGTTACAGAGCCCAGCAGAAAGATCTTAATAAATATTGTTTGGATAAAAATGATAGTTAACACCATAGATGAATAGAATTTCTAGCAGATATTTCAGCTTTCTGGCACATCATAATAAATGCCAAAGAAGGTATAGTCCAGTTCAGAGAAGCAAAATATAACCTCCAGTTCAGAAAACTGAGCAAAGTGTCTTCAAGAATGCAATGCTTGACACAGACCCTGGGAAGTAATAAGCTCAAGTGTGAGAGCTGAAAGTCTAAAGAAGAGACGGGGAGTTGGGCCTTTTACTTGCAGGTACTGGGGTCAGAACTGACCAGGGGGAGCTGTGAGTACCTGGCCAGGAATGTGCAGAGGTCTTAGATGCTGGGCCAAGCCAGTCATGACTCACAGCTAAGAGGAATAGAACTGAAGATATTCTGAAAGAGGAACCAGTGCGGTTTAAACCATGCCTGAGAGGGGTGAGTTTTCATCTTTCTAATCAGAAAATGAACTAGAAGGAAAAACAGTGGAAGCTGTACAAATAGAAGGTCCTTTCAACAATTTAAAGAACAACAATCTGAGGACCCAAACTACCCTGTGGCCTGAAAGACTACAAGGAGGGGATGGGTTTCAGTTGAATTAGAGTCTGCTGAACTTGGCAGCTAGCTAATAGGAGGTAGAAGAGAGGAGTAAGAAAAATCAAAGGTGACTCAGGTTTTGAAATGGATGATTGGATACGGATGCTGGTCCAGAATCCTGAGGGACTAGGGTTCTCAAGATATCCTGAGAGGCTGTTTCAGGATCTATTCAGGATAAGCACATTTTTCAGTTTTGATTTAAAAGAAAAAAATAGGCCAGTCTTCATGGAACTGTCTCCGTGACCTCTTTGAGCTCTGTAGTGTCATCACATCATATCCGGCTCCAAGAGGGGTATTAAGGACACAGCTGAAGGACTGCTGCCAAGATTGCAGAATTCCCTTCCTGTCTTAGGTGACAGCTGGGTCTCCACTTTTCAATGGCACTATAGTCCCAAGTACAGTAGAACCATAAGTATTCTTCAGCTTTGCTGAGAAAGCATTCATTTGTTTGCATGATCCTACGTGTCTCCAGGCCTGACAGTGCTGCCCTGCCATAGATTTTATTTAATCTACTTAATATCTTTAAAGTTTTGACAATATGTTTTTTGCTTTGTAAGTTAATAATGGTTTAATTCTTATACTACCATCTAAACAGACAGGGTCCTTGCTTTACACCACGACTAGGGTGCAGCCATAGCTGGTAAATTCTTCACATTGCCACTTCCTCTGTGGACCCCTGATCTGCATTTATGGTGGTCTTGCAAAGTCATTCTTGTCTCAGAATGTTGTTATAAGCTATGCGAGTTGATCCGCATCTGATTTACATTCTAAGGTCATTTACCTTGGTCAGTTGACTAGTGGATGCTTCAGCCTCATCCACAGTTTGACATCAAAGTACTGATTCATCATGTTTTATGAGAGTAGTCATTATGTGACAATTCCTTCTAATGTCTTCTGGGCCCTATTTAAACTTTCACCTGTGGAAATTCCACATAATAACAGTATTTCTGAAAATTATTTGACCACAGACTATTCTAAAGTTTGTCGGGGAGATAGCTCAGTTGAATAAGTGCTTGCCTGGCAAGTGCAAGGGCCTGCATTTAATCCCTGGTTCTGCCAAAATAAATGAATAAATGAATAAATAAAATTTGTCATGTAGTGGTGGAAAACCAAGAGTTGGCTATGAAATAGAATGCTCAGTTTGGAACAGGAAATTTTAAAGCACTAATATTACAGTTCAATTCATTATAAGCATTTCCAACACTGGATTCATTTTTTAAAACTTTGCTACAGAAAATGAAATAAAATGATGCAAATTTGATGTCTTTCTCCTTTGACAAACTAGCTACCATCCAGTACCTAAACCATCCAATACCTTTACATTGCTGAGTAGACCTTGTCCCTTTGTCCTAAGGAAGGCTTAAGCCTCCCCAAGAATTCCTATGTATTAAAGATTTACAGTGTCCAAACATCCCTTTTTGTCCCAAATTAACTGGGATGCCAAACTCACACAACTGTTTCTCCAGAACAGCACCTCCTTGCACACTCGGATTTCTAGAGGAAAAACAGAGGCTTCTTAGGGAAGGGCCCCATCTCCTTCATGGCCCTCAGCACGGAGCCTCTGCTTCTTCCTTCCCCTTTAGTATTTCTGCAGAGAAGCAAACTGTCACCTTCTTGCACCTTGCAGGTTTCCTCTGCTACTTCAAGTGGATTTTTTTTTGTCAAGATGCTCTTCCCAAGTGATATGAACTCACTCAAGGGAATTACTACTGAATAAAATTATTTCTGGGGGCTGGGGAGATGGCTCAGTGAAATAAGCACTTCCCTGGCAAGTGCAAGGGCCTGAGTTCAATCCCCAGTTCTGAAAAAAAAAAAAAGATAAAAATTATTTCTGAAATAAATTTTATAAGACAAAAACAACCTAGAAACTATTTTAACTGAGATAAATCTACTAAACCCTCAAGATATAATTGTACCTTAGGGAAAACATTTTGGAAACTGCTGGGTCTGTGCTTGGTCAGTGTTCAAATTCTTTTTCTTAATGGTATCATAAAAGCACCATTTTTTGGAATAAAATGAACCTTCAAGTTTGCAAGTTCTTGAGTTATTTCCATCTTTTATTTTTGTTATTTTTGTTTTGATCTTATTTGAAATTCACAGAAAATTTGCAAGGCATGATAGTATAAAAAATCTTTATATGGCCTTTCGATGTTTCTGTCCCACTCACATTATCATTTCCTTTGTCTTGCTTGCTTTCTGATTAAGTATGAGTAATAAACACTTAGTTTTTCAACAACACAGTAAGAGATATGCTTTATTATTTTATTGTGTATTTCTTCATAAGAATATTCTCCTGCCTGCCTCATGCTAAAATTAATCAAATTCAGGTCATTCTATGTTCTTTTTTGGCACAGTGCTATTACCTAATTGGATACAATACATTTAATAGTCCATGGTAAAAATTTTGTTAATTTTCCCATAGGTAAGTAACCTTTATGTAGCTACTGATTTTTCCTTCTGTTCCAGGATTGCATACTGCAGGTAGTTATCTTGTCTCTTTAGTTGCTTTTCCGGAACTGCATGTCACATTTCTTCATCTTCTTGACTTTAGTCACTCTTGGAGCATATCTCAGTTACTTTGTAGAATGTCCTTCATAAGTAAATTTAAAGTAGGTCCTTTTGGAAGGATTGGCACAGATGATAACATTGGCTTTTCTGTTTTTTCTAGTCACAACAAGTTCTCCAACACCAGCTAGGTGTCCCGTAATCCATTTTGGTTCTGATCAGGGAGCCAACACAGACCCTACAGGTTAAGTTCTCAGTCTCTCAAGACTGCTCTAAAGTGGAATTTTCAGAGTCCCCACAGGAATCTGTAGCTCCCCTCCCTTCTTAAAGGAAGCTCCAGGCTGCCCTTGTTCCAGGCTGACTGACGTTTCCATGTGCCCATGCCTCAGCGTCAGAGGCATGATGAAATGACTCTCAGAACCCCACGAGCCACTAGCATTGCAGTTTCAGTTTTGTTAGACTATTACAAACAGCCAAGTAGAAGTGACACACAGGAAAAGGCCTGAGGACCAGGACACCAGGCCCTGATAAGTTCGGCAACCCGGAAGTTCCCCAGCCCCATTTTGTGAGTTTTTATTGAGGTGTGACTAAGGAGGAAGGTTGGATGCATTATTGGTTATTGGTGGCTGGATTCAAACTCCAGCCTCTTTAGCTCCCCAAACATTGGAGATGGGACCAAAAGTTCTAACCCTTGACTCACCTGGTTAGGTTTTCTAATGCTCAACCTACCCTCTACTCCCAGAGATCCATCTCCTCAGCATGAACACAGGTGTGCTTGGAGAGACCTTTTATGGATAGCAAAATTCTCTCCTGTCCTGCAGAAGTTCTCTAAATTTTAAGAGCTCTATGCCTGCATCTTGTGACAAAAAGCAAATGCATTTTTCATCCTGCCACAAATCTTAGCATACCTGATCAAGAAACATATGTGGTAAGTGTACCCTAGTATTCATGGTGTTGAATTTGACAATGCAGTGGTATCAATCTGATCATTAACTATTTTCCTAACTCCCCTTATATCTTCAGTATCTATTAGCTGGATTCAAGTATATTTGTTTTGACTTCTCCATTGTGAGCATGGGCTCACAGCTTTCTATTTATGAATTATAATCTATTATCATTTGTTTTAAATTTTTAGATGATCTCAGATTTTCTGACTGTCTTGTCAGTTTCTGCCTTATCAAAATGTTTGAAGCATGTCTTATAACATTCCTGCCCAGCTTTAGAATCATTCTTTTCACCAAGGAGACCTGATTCCTTTTACTGGAATAATATTTAGAAACCAAGGACAGGAACTACATGCACCCATTGTTCCTATCTTGCCTTCATTTCTACTGGAATGAGCAGCCAGAACTAAGAAAAATGTATAAGTGCCACCCCCACCTCTATTTTATTTCTAGTCTATCTATTTACTGTCTTTAAAACATTAGATTTGCACTGATTCTTCCAATTCAGTACCGCACCTCAAAATGCATTTATTTTTCTTCTTCTCTCTATTTGATATTTACTTCTCCACAAATGAAAACTCAGGTTTCTTTATTATTTATGTATCTGTTCATGGGTTCAAGTCAAGTTCTTGGATCTTTGTTCTACAGGTATCTTACCCTGCAGATGGTAAAATAACCCTTACAATGCCTTATGTTTGATGGTGACAAATCCTCACAATTTTAGTTTATCTGAAAATGACTTTATTCTGCTTTAATTTTTGAAGGCTGTTTTCACTGCATGCACAAGTTTCAGTTTGTAGTAATTTATTTTCAACATTTTAAGAGTCCCCCATCATTTCTTAGTCTTTTGAGTTTTTTTTTTTTTTTTTTTTCTTGAAAGTTCAGCTCTTCTTTCTATCATTTTCACTTTATATGTTTCACTCTGGTATTGTTTTCATACCAGGTGTGTAAGTGTAAGGCTATCATCAACTATCGAAAAAATTTTGTTATGCATCTTTTAGTATTCCTAAACTCACTTCTATCTGAGACCCCAGGTACATACTTTATATATTAAACCAATCAACAATGCCCAAGAAAATATCAAGGTGTTAATGTTTCTTGTTTTTTTCCTTTTCTTAGTCTTTTGTCTGAATAGATTCTTCTTGTTCATCTATATTCTCTGATTCCCTCCCCTTTGTCTATTTCCAAAGTGCTCTTTAATTTATCTATGAGCTTTTTAATACATTGTATTCCATAATTTCCAGTTAACTATTTTAATAGTTTTTCATTTGCTTGCAGAACTTTACATCTGTTTATTGTTGCTAGATTTTCCTTTATGTTCTTAAATACATTTGGAATAGTAGCTTTAAAGTCCCTGCCTGAGAATGTCAGCATTTGAATCATCCTGGGTTCATTTTCTACTTACTACTTTTTCCCTTTGCTGTTAGTTGCATTTTCCTAATTCTTCGTATGTGTACTAATTTTTTCTTGTATATCAGACATTATGTGCTTTTCACTGTGGAATGAGATTCGTTCAGCCAGGAGTAAAATCACTGGCAGGTCCTCTTAATCCTCTGAGGCTTGGTTTTATCATGTTATGGTGGTGTATTCCAATTTAAAATTTAATCTTAGGAGTATCCTTACTTGCTGGGTGTATTTCTTAGTCCTAAGAAATGACCTTTTTCTGTGTAAGTTGGAAGGCCCAAAGAGCTTAGTGAATTCTCCACTCCAGATTCACTTCCCTACCTAGTATCATTATTCAGCTTTCAGACTTTGGCAGCTAAGTTTTGCTAATCCTCTCAGAGTTTTGACCTGTGCACTTGCAAAGTAATGGCCACTCCACACGCTGTAGCCCTCCCTTCCCATATCTCCTCTAACCCCTCTCACATAACTTCTCTGTGTTGATTTACAAGTTCCAGGCACTTCTGAAGTTGGAACCTTTTTCAGTTCTTTTTGGAACTGTTGCTCTATGTGGGTGGCACCTGCCTTTTCCAAAACAGAAAGTACCCAAGGCAGAAAGCCTGAATGTCCCACAGTAATCTTGCATCTTTCCCCTCTTTTTTTTTTTTTTTTTTTTTTTTTTTTTTTGTCTGTTGCTGTGGATAGACTTATGGTTTTCTTGCGTGGGGGGGGTTAGTAACCATTGACTTTTTTATGGCAAGTGGCAGCTAGTGCTTGTGTCTTCCTGTACTGTCATGCTCTCACAGTGAGTAGAGTGGCGGCAACAACGGTAATGTTCCAGTTTCCCTTAGGTGTTTCTCGGACCTGGAACGTGAAGGAGTCCTCTGGACTCACTCTCTGACCTTGCACTAAGTACACTGTTAAAGGGAACATGAAGATGCCCCTTCACTCAAAGTGTATTAGAAGGATCTACTCACTCCCCCTCATTCCAGGGAAGAGGGACATGCGGGCTGGCTGTAGATTTTAATCAAATAATTGACACTTCAAAAGCTGTAAAGTCCTGCTCATTTCTATCAGTCAAATTGCTACTTTAATTAGCTAGTTTAGTTAAATTCTCTCCTTTATAAACTGGTCTGGAAATTCTAGTATCTGTTAGTAAAATAATTTGAGAAGATGCATTTTTATTCACATTTTGACATTAATTTATAAAGTATTCACTATTTGACAGTCATTTTTCAAGGTTTTAATTCATCAGTTATCAGTATTCTGTCTACTTCCCTTAGGACCCTTGTAATCTAAAGATAAAATGCCTAGATATTTAAAGATAAAGCAAGAACTATTTTACTAGAAACGTTTAACTGTGGCCTTCTGTATATCCATTAATACAACCTTATTTGCAGAAAAGGCAAAAATACTGTAATATGTGCAATATAAAATATTTATGCTGATTTTCCACTTTTTCATAACTTTTCTCCTGAAAATATCCTAAAGCCAAGTTGGCCCTCTCGAGGGAAAATTGGCCTCATTTCTGACCCCATTTGTTAGAATCTAATGTGATCACCTACTTCATTCAGAGCTTTGGCTATGCATGACTTTAGACTAATTTAATGAAAAAATAGAAATGACCTTCAAAGATGACAATTTTCCAGTGTGGATATTCCGTGTTCTCTGCAGGGAATTCCAAATGCAGAGTTTTTGGAGCAATGATGCTATTCTTAGGTTGAGTGTGTAAGTTCCCAAGGCGATTGCTCTGAAGAGAGCAACACTCATTCAAATGTTTATGTTCTGGAATGTCTGTTTCCATTCTAACTTTATACCCTGCATTGTATCTGCCGATTTTCTTCTCTGTGGCTTCCCTCTTGCCTGACAAGTTTTGCTTTCCCTTATACTGTAATACGCTGAAATGACCTCTCATGAACACTGTAGTATTATTTGTTCATGAATTCCCTCATTTGTTTTAACAAAAACTAAGTTTTGGGAATGTGGTCATAAATTGAAAAAAACTCACTGAGTTTCCATCTTAATTTTAGACCTTTGTAAGGTTTAATTGAAAATTGCGTTGTACCTTTCTGTAACTCACATTTAGAACTTTTCACCTTTCAAAAAAGTCTTTTGTAATTCTTTATAATCTGCTTTGGGAAAAAAGTAGAGATTCAAAAGATCAAGGCATTCCTTACAAATTAGGTCTATACATCTTTTTTATACCTACTAAAAGCATTCTTAGGAAAACCTGAGATAATATTTCTAGTACAGAATACAGAAGAAGTGCCAAAACAATTACAAAGAAAGACCTCTAGGAATGTCTTAGAGGTCATAGTTTTTAGTGAAAGGTTTTAGAAGTTTTTAGTGAAAGGGTGACAGTAAAATCAAGCAGTGAGACAGACAGGGACAGACAGACCACACCACAAAATTTGAGAGATACCACTTTTCCATAAATTACCCGACTGTCTCATTAGTTAATATTTTGAATGGCTTTTATTTTTTAATGTTTGTTCAAGTTCAATTTGGGGATTTTTGTTTGTTTCTCAAACATAGCTGCTAAAAACCTTAGATGTATCTTTGTCAAAGCTGATATGTACCTACATGATTTGATGCCGTTCATAATGCTAAGATTGATGTTCAGTAACAATGTAAGTCAAAGGTTACCATTCTGGAATCTAATAAGTTAGAAAGATTGAATTGATCTTTGTGTAGGTCAATCATTAAATTCAATTTCTTTTTTCTTACTAGGATCCTCGTTTCAATGCAGAGGTTGACCAAATTACAGGTTACAAAACACAGAGTATCCTTTGTATGCCAATTAAGAACCACAGGGAAGAGGTAAGCCAATTTTTCATTTTATAAAAGGTCATTGGGAAACGTTGTTTTCTGTCTGGAAATAAATTGTTTTTACCTTGCACATAATATAAAACAATGCTATGGTGTGTTGTTTGGTGTTTTTATTTACTTTATGTATAGTGTTTCCTGATGGAGACTTTACCATGATCTTTGTCTTAGATTAAGCTTTGTCGTATCATTTCCTACCTCCTCTTCTTCAGAATGCTTTAGTCTTTTAAGATATAACTGTGGTTGTGATTAGAATCCGTTTACTTCATGTTTTAAGCATCTGACTCATTTATTTCATAAGTGGTCAACCATTTGCAATGATCACCACTTGATTCCTTTACATTCAAATTAAGATGTTTAAAAAATAGAAATTATAGCTAATTGGAGGCTGAGGCAGGAGGATCCCAAGTTTAAGCCCAGCCTGTAATTTATTGGCTTAGTGCAACCCTGTCTCAAAATAAAAAATAAAAAAGGACTGCATATGTAGCTCAGTGTGAAGGCTGTGGGTTCAATCCCCAGTGCTGGCAGAGAATGATGAATGTCACATTTTCATTTCTATGAGAAACTCAAAATATAAATAAGGAGCAAAATAAAAGACATGTTAGGAAGCAGGAAGGTAGACTGTTTGGAGACAAGAAAGAGAGAACCGAAGCGTAGGGGAGGGGAAATTGAGTGACCAAGAAGCGTTATGTGGGTTGCTGGGTCTCCAGTGTGAATGTAAGCGTTATGTATCGTAAACATAGTCCACAATAAAAAGTCTTTAAAAAAGGAAGTTATACCTAATTCTAACTGTAAATTTCCATGTAGAATTGTAACATGACAATGAAAATATCTTCATCGCATTTCACCTACCTAGAAGATTTATGTTCTGCTACTACTGGGTTACTTCTTCATTTTACATCTATGGGAAATAAAATAACAAATAAATTATCAGTTAAACTGAGTGAACTGTACATTCTCAATCCTGACAGCACATCATGACCAACTGGGGAATGGTAATAAATTGTGAGTTGCATTAGGATTCTCCAGAGAAATGCATCTATATCTAAGAGGGGATTTCGTATGGAAAGTGGTCCTATGAGTTTCTCTCTTAAAGCTGAAGAGCTGGGAAACTGGGTCATGGACTTTACTCAGTCCACAGACCTGAGGAAATGGAGAGTGGTGTGTCCCGGCATCCAGAGCCCATGAGCCAGGGCTCTGCGTGCAGGGTGAGAGGAGGTAGGCATCCTCCCTCCAACAGAGGGGGCGCCGCTTCTCTTCCTGTCTTTTTGTTCTATCTTGGCCTCAATAGGTTGGATAACTGGCAATGCCTACCCATTGGAGGATCTCTTACCCTCTCTACTGATCAGAACACTGTTCCTTTCTTGAATTACCCTCTAAGACACACCCTGAAATAGCATTTTCCAGGTATCTGGCTGTCCCTAAAGTTGGGTAAATTGACACTAAAATTGTGTCAATGTTAATGAATTTAAAATATCTAAGGATAGAAACAGAATACTGTTGTGTATTTAAAGCTCCTCAAGTAAATATAAAGCATAGCCACGGTTGAGAATCTCTACTCTTAGTGAAAGCAAACAGATTGTAAGATTTGTAGTTCTTAGCCATAACTGCATGCTAAGATCACCCGGGAAGCATTTAAAATTTCTAATATCCAGGCTCAACCTTAAATCACAGTTTCTGAATTAGATCCCAGGCTCAGTGTTGTCTAAAATTCCCAAGTGATTGCAATAATTTATGCCCAAGGTCAAAGTTGTATTAGAAATGCAGACAGTCCCCAACTTACCATGGTTTGAGGTGGTTTCATCTTAGTTCTTTTTATTTATGGAGGTGCAAAAGCAATACTCCAGCAGTACAAAGTCTGGTTTGAATTTTTGAGTTTTGATCTTTTTCTAGGCTGGTGTTATGTAGTAGATAGCCTGCTCTCATGGACTCCTTTTTTTTTCTTTTCCCAGTACTGAGGATTGAACTCAGGACCTTGCACTTGCCAGGCAGACACTTATTCTAGCGAGCTATCTCCCTGGCCCCAGTAGCCTGCTCTCATGATGTCTCATGATGCAGGGTGGCAGTGGAACCCTAGAGCCACCAGAGGCCTGCCAGTTATGGAGAGGAGGCAAGTGGTATCTTACAGGGTACTGTGTTGCCAAGCTAGAGTGTTTGTAGATCAGGTATATTTTGAACTTAGGATATTTTCAGTGTCTGCTGAGTTTACTGAGGTAACACCCCATCAAAAGTCAAGGAGCACCTGCACCTGATTAATATTCTAACTTCCTTCTGTGCCTTGCTGCATTCACTCTGCTACCAGATTCCTTGCTTTATCTTCCACTAGTGCTTCCCATCTCAGTTTTTTCCTTTTCGTTTGCTCTCCCTGCACCAGGGTTCAGCTCTGGAGCCCATGCCTGAGCTTTGACTTGCAGGCAGTTTCCAGTCAGCACGCCTTGTGTATCCCTCCTCCAGGGATTTTCCTGCAACACAGCTTTCTGAATCAGCACTCCTAATGCGTTAAGGTTAGGGATCACCAGGGGATTTTGTTCCAATACAGATTCTGAATTCAGTAGGTGTAGATGAAACATGAGGTCCTTTTGGAACAAGTACCAAATTGACGATGCCCTGGGTCTACAGATCCCAGCTCTGGCCCACTTGCTGTGTAGCAGGTGGGACACAGAGGCACCATTCTCAACCCATTTCTAGCTGCCTCCCCCACAGCTCCTTTCTCTACCTCTCAAGATTATAGTGGCAAAATGCTGGGTTCCTTGCTTTGCCAGGAGAAATTCAATACAGAGACATTCTGAAAATTCTGTCAATACAAGTGTGATCAAAATGTACAATGAATGTTTATATTTTAAAAATGTATTACAGCAAAAGACCTTGCCGTTTATCCCCCTCAAAATATTACCCTTCACTTCAAATACACTGGTCCCATTTTTCTTGTCACCTTCCGAAGCAGCTCTGGAAGTCTCTTTCATGAGTGTCCAGTGTGTGATTGGAATTACAGAGAATGCTGCTCCCAAGTGCCGTCCCCCAGAAAGCAGGTTCATCTCAATGCTATGGTGCCCCCCATCCACCTTATTCCCCGGATCTTGTACCATGTGACTTTTGGCTCTTCCCTAATTCAAGGTGGCCAGGAAAGCTAAACCTTTTAAATTATTTGGGGACATTGAGTTACCCATGGCATCGCAACTAGAAATATTTATGATTAATGGCCGATGGGTCCTTCGCTGTAATTGTAAAGTCGCGTATTTTCAAAGACAGTTCATAAGTGCACAGGGGGTGAGCACTAAGAAATGTGCATTCAGTCATGTGACCCACTACAGTCAAGACCCAGAATCTGTCACCTCAGAGAATCTGCCAACCCCTTTTGCAGTTTATCTCCTCCTGCCTCCACTCTCAGCCCCAACTATCAGTAACCTGCTTTCATCACTGTTTTTCATTGCTGTTGTTTTGAGAATGCGATAAAAGTGGAACTATATAATATGTGGCCTTTGTATCCAGCTTTTTTCATTTTTCATAATGCTTATCATACTCACCCATGTTGCTGTGTGTTTCATTGCTTCACCCCTTTTTATCACTAAGTGATTTAGTTCATGGTGTGGATATCTACCCCAATGGTTTATTCACTCAGCAGCTGATAGACATTTGCAGTTTTCTAGTTTTTCTCTTTCTGACAAGAGCTGCTGACAATATCTGCATAAAAACTTTTGTATGGACTTGCATTTCCATTTCTCTTGGGTAAATATATGGTAGGGAAATTGCTAGGTTGTATGGCAAATATATGTTTAATCTTCTGACAAGTTTTCAAATTCACATCTAAAGTGTCTATTCCATATTACATTCCTACCAGCACAATCAGAGAGGTTGAGTTGCTTAATATCTTTAATTATCTAATTTTAATATCTTCAATTCTCCCACGTCAGTGAGGGAGACTTGAATTTGATTCCATGAACACGGATCGGATTAAAATGGGCTCCTCTGCATGTACCCGGGAGTCCAAAGTTCCCCCAGAGTTCTGCTGACTCCCGAGCTTCCGTTGTCCAACCTGTGCCTTTATACTCTTTCTTACTGCCTCTGTTTTACCCTGTGACAATTTGATAAGAAGCTTGGCTCTTCTCTGATTTCCAAAAAAGTTTACTCACACCAAGCATTCCAAGAGATTTTAAAAAATCCTTTCAGTGACTTCACTGGGAATCTAGTCCCTTTAATCAAGAGAGAGCTTTCAAAACACAGCTTTTAAATGTATTGTTGACCTTCTCTTTTCTCTTTTTGCTACCTCTTTTCCCAGATTTGTGTGGCCCAGTTTGAAATTATTCCCTGTGAAAGTTAGTTCTTCAGGAGAAAGGAATGAAGAGAAACAGAAAAGTAGATAGACTCTCGATGCGGCAGTTGTAGCATAAGAAAGTATCTTGGCTGAGCCAAAATCAAGGTCAATAACAAGACACAGTATATAACTTCTAGAATTATCTCTAACTTTGTAGCTATGGAAACATACTTGGGTTGTCATTTGCTTTTGTATGTGAATACAACTCTGCTTTCCATCTCATGAAATTTTCAAAATCAAAATGTAGAGCCCCAGTTTGGCTCTGGGTGGCATTGTGAAGACTTTGCTCTGTGCGCGAATCCTGTTTTACCACTCCCTTGAGTAATCAAGCTGGACCTGCTTAAGCCTTTGAGCTTCACTTTCTTCATGTGTAGAACAGGAGTAACAAAAGGGCTTATTGGGAAGATTGAATTTGAATATGAAGGGCCTATCAGAGTTCCTGGAACACTGTAAGTGATCAGTAAATTCCACATAGTATTTTTTTTTTTTTTTTGTAAAGAAATACAACTAACAGAGCTTCCAAGAAAGACAAGAAGTGAGACAGTTGCACAAAGATGTTGTTGGCCACATTATAATCAGCCTGCTGGAGATAAATGATAATCCTCACGACCCCTGATTTAACAAGCCTTTCTATTTAGTATTCTCTAACACATGTTTAAAATTTCTGCAAATGGTTTTCCCT